AAAAATTGACAAAAAAACAGAAAAATACACAAAAAAGAATTCCAGTCGGAGGTGGCGAACGGCCACGGCCACCAGGCTAGAGTCCAAAAACCAAGGAAAACAGAAGTGGAACCAGAAAAATCTTGCCTCCTTTCTTTCTTCCCGGCTTCCGGCTCTCTCCTTCTTTCTTTCGTCTGCCTTCAGCCCAAAACCAGAAAAATAGACAAAAACAAACCAGAAAAATAGACAAACAAAAATACGGTACCCACACTGACGCGCACACAAGTCTATGTAATCACCACAACACAATTTCATACCGCTGGAACATGACAGGGCCGGTATAGACTTCAAATAGCCTGAACCCCATCCACAAATTCAAATCCTAAACCAAACAGCTTGCAGAATCCTTATAATGGTCCTTATAGCAACCCTATTATTAGATCAGCCCCTATGGAGCCTAAACCCTGAACCCTTTTCACCCCAAGAAACTCCGTAGACCCACCCTAAACCCTAAACCCTAAACCCCTTTTCACCCCAAGAAACTCCGTAGACCCGCTCTCTCTTCAACGAGGGCCTGGCCGTCTCTTGCAGGGCCTGGATATCACGGCCCTCCCGCTGGCAGAGAACTCGGGCCTGAGAAGAGCGCAGTGGCTCTCAATTCGGGTTTAGGGTTAGGGATTTAGGGGTTTCAGGTTCAGGGGTTTAGGGGTTTAGGGATTTAGGGGTTTGAGGTTTAGGGGTTTAGGGGTTTAGGCGTTTAGGGGGTTAGGGTTTTGGGCTTGGGGGTTTGTAGGTTAGGGCTTATTTAGGGTTTAGGAGTTTTGGGGTTTCGGGTTTGGAAAGGGATGACAAGGATTTTAGAGCTTACGGTTCCAGGTTTAGGGCTTGTAAGGGGCTTAGAGTTTAGGGTTTAGGGTGACTAAAGTTGGAGATGGCTTCAGGAGTTGTTCAGGCGTTGAAGCTTTGGACCTTAGCGAGCTGGAGCATCCGGGCTGCTTCTCAGCTGACTAGTAGGCAGGATAATGCTGCAGAGAATCAAGCCGAGAAACAAATAGCCCCAAGCTCATCGCATGACTCAGACGAAGCTGAGTCCCGCTAGGAAGGAAGTTGCGCAAGAAGGACCGTCACTTCAAGCTAAGATCTATACGACAAAGCCGGGAAGTCATGGCGACGTCGTTAGATTCCAAGCGCATCCGAGAGATCGCGAGCCTCCGCGGGCAGGTGCCGTCCCAGAACCCATCTCAGGTCCACCACGGTGGCGCCTTTCCTGGGCTGTTCGCGTAGATGCAAGCAGTTTGTGTTGACTTCGTGCAAGTGTACAGCTTAATTACCTAGTGATGCAACCCAAGTTGGTGGGGTGACTCCGAAACTGTCATCATTCGTCTCATGAGGGGACCAAAGCGAAGTCCGCCAAGCGGCCGAAGCCAAACACCGAAGGATTGCTTTGCGGCGAAGAACTTCTTCACGGTCGAGCTCTGGCAGGTCACACCTCTGCAGGCACTTGCTAAAAACAGAAAAGGGCACGCCCTTTTCGGTGTGCGCCGACCGTCGCGATACGTGCTCGGAAGATTCGAATGTGGTTCTAACAGGCGTTTGCGGTTTGAGTTTCCCGGTTTCCTTGTGCAGCTGCGCGCTCTCCACGTCAGCCGTCAACCACGGTGCCCACAAGAACTTCAGAAACAACTGACTCTCATCAAAGGAATCTTGTGCCATGCTGCCTACAGAGTCAGTAGCAACAGAGATACAAAGATAAGGAGATGCATGGACGTCGCAGCAAGACAACGAATTATTAATGAGTTTTAACGCAGAAGTGGCAGTCGCCCGTCACAGACGTCGTTGCTGGCTGCGGTTGCTTGTTTCGTTTCTCATGGTCGGCCGTGGCTGGTTGCTGGTTGCCCTTGCTGCTGCTGCGCGGCGGCGGGTGTTGTTCTTGCTGTTGCTGTTGTTGCTGCTGCTGCTGCTGCTGCTGCTGCTGCTGCTGCTGTCGTTGTGGTGGTGGTCCCTAAACCCTAAACCCTAAACCCTAAACCATGGTGATGGCGGTGGCGGTGGCTGCTTTTTGACTCTTCTTTCGAGTGCCCCGTGGGGAGAAGTCCGGGCACGGCATGGTCTTGCGCAGGGCATGGGGGAGGTCCGCGGAAGCACCGGGCCGAATAGGGTTCCTTTAAAAGGGACGACGATGATGATGGCGTGTCGCTTATGATATATTAATTACTACCTATAGTCTCCATTGTAGTTCCTTTCTTTGGTTTAACCAATTATATATTTTGGAATTTATAAGGTATCCCCAAAAAGGAACTACAATGAAGGATATAGCAAAGACTTGGATGTGCGGAACGCCAAAACGAAAGTGCTCACACTCCTCAGGATTCCACGGGTCACGAAGGACAGCTTGCTTTCCTGCCGGGAAATTTTTTGGGTTTAGTGTACCTACATCATCGGGTTTTAGGTGTTATGTAAGGCTTCAGGGTGATAGACTTAGAGCTTCAAACTTCTTCAGTTTGGGGCTTACGTCTTGAAGTGATTTAGTGCTTCAGGGTTCAGGGGTTGGGTACTCCGGGGTTTGATCCTCCTAGGCCCTAGGACCTTAGGACATAGTTACGGCAAAACGTATGGGGTAGTTGCGGTTACTTGCTTAGGCTGGAAAGAAAAACTAAAATAGTCCTTGTACAACATGATATAACATACTAGGGGGTCAGTAAACCCTAAACCCTAAACCCTAAACCCCTAAACCCTAAACCCTAAACCCCTAAACTCTAAAACCCTAAACCCTAAAGCCTAAACCCTATTATTACGGTGCCAATGTGTGGCATCTTGACCTTTTGGGGGCTCTCGAGTTGCGATGCTCCCTTTTATACATACATAACATAACATGTTATATACCATACTATATGAATAATACTATACAATATTGACAAATCATCTTATGGAATAACAAAGGGAAGAAAAGTATATATAACCCCGCAACCTGAAGGCCCTCGAATCTTCACCTCCCCCCAAAAAAACTACTTCACACACCGAAGAACCGAATCCTCTTAGAATCGCATCCTCCATATCCCATTATAGTTCCCTTTGCAACGACACTACATAGAATATTATACAAAATACGCGATTTCCCGAACTACAAACCCTAAACCCGATACCCGCACACCCTATCCTGATGATTCAGGCCCCAGCTCTTCATCCCGCAAATGTTTAGGGTTTAGGGTTTAGGGGTTTTAGGGTTTAGGGGTTTTAGGGTTTAGAGTTGCTTGACGAGGGGGCCTCCTCAGCAGCCTCACAGGCCTCTTTGTCGTCG